GGTAATTGAGTGCAATCGATTTTCCGGTTGTCTTTCCTCTTCTTGGATGAAGAGGGGTCTTGATCTCTTACAGGAGGGGTGCGGTTGCGTTTCTTAAAAAAGAAACATCGCGCCTCTCCTTTCTTGGTGGAAGGCCACACCTGGGTGGTGATATACTGGGGGAGATTCATCGTCGGGTTCTCCGAGGAGGAGATCTTGACTATTTGTTCTCCCAGGCCTCTATCCTTTGATTGTGTTATGGGATGAGGGTGTTGGTCGGATTGATAGCAGTGAGCAATGCTTCCATGGTCGGACCCGCGCTGAGAGGGATGGGAAATGGTTATATGACTTTTGGAAGTTCCTCAGTTGGATTCTTGGGGAGTCCCTTGTCCAAGATTTGGTCGTCTCTGCATCGGGCGTCAGTTGAATCTGGAGACGTAGTCTGTCCATCTCGGAAACCCAGGTTGTCCTCGAGGTGAGGATGTTCCTTACTTCCGTCGGTTTTGTGAGTAGGGGAAAGAATGACCTTTTCGGGCAGACGGAGATCATCATGGTCGGCCATGATTAGTGAATGGAATCTTAAAAAGTTGCTTTGAACATTACGTTTCAAGGAAAGAAAGATGGGGAGAGCAGTTTCCCACAGACAGTGCCACTGATCTTACCGGTTGATCAGAACCTATGAAGTGGCCGGAAGATGATCTGTAGTCGGGCTGTGATATCGCGGAGGAAAAAGGGGGTTGTACCTGCAAGGTACTCTAAAGATCAAGTAAGAGTGGGAACAAGGAGATACAAGCAAAGCATTAAGGTATTCGTGGTGAATATTCGATACCTGGCCCTCATAGGTGTGAGGGTTTATATAATGCCCCTGGAGCATAGCCATTGGTTCCTGATTTTACGCATGGATATACGGGTTCGTAAAATCAAGTAACTGCCAGGACTTGGTCAAACTGGGAAGTTGTGCCCGTAACTAGCCGTTGGTTCCGGGGAGGAGGCAAGTCACGGGCATCTCTTCGGTCGATTCCTGCTGTCCTGCACGACTTTAATGTCGGGCAGGCTGAGGAAAGGGTCAGGTTGGGCCCATTCAAGCTGTCGGGTCAGTCCAGAATAATTGTGTAATTGTGTTTTGGGTCAATAAGTGTTAGAATAACAGTATTGAGTATTGAGCCTTAAATGTCACATTAGAATGGGTGAGTGAGATAAGCCCATTAGTGAAATAAGGGTTAGTAAGAGTTGTAAGTGAAAATAGAATTAGAATTGTAAAACAAGAGAAGAGAAGAAAAGGAGAAAAGAAGAAAAGAAGGGAGAAGAGGAGAAGAGAAGAGGAGAAGCTTAGAAAGGATATATATATAAGGTAAGGGTGTGATTTTTTGTTATTATGGGATTATATATGAGTATGTAATGGGTAGTAATATGAATTAGGGATTTCAATTTCAATTTCTAGGTTTTTGATATACTTAAGTTTTGAGATGTGAATCATGAATTAATGTTTGGAAATCATGTTTTTTATGTTAGTAATGGATAATACATGTTAGATATAAGTCATGATGCATTTGATTGGTTAAAAATGGGTGTTAGAATGGATTTTGGGTAAAAAAATCCGTAGCAAGACAGAACTGTCCGCAAGCATATTTTTTTGCATAATCGCATGGGCGTTTAGTGTTGTGAGGGACCATAAGCATTCTTGGTCAGAAACCAAGAATAGACGTGGTGATAGATTCCAGAAGTCAGAAACTTCTACTTTTGATGAGAAGAAACATCATAAGGGAAAGGAGAAGTTTGACAAGAAGAAGGTTCTATGTTAATATTGTAAGCAGTTTGGCCATTTTGCTAAAGATTGTTGGTCAAATAAGGGAAGAAAATCAGAAGAAGCAAATATAACCAGAGGAGATTCTGATGATGAAACTGTGCTATTTATGGCTTGAGTCTGATGAAAAGTGTTTGGCATACTGGTGGTATATGGACACTGGTTGTTCAAATCACTTGACTGGAAACAAATAATGGTTGATAGATTTTGACTCCAGAAGGAGGACAAAAATCATATGTGCTGATGATAAATACCTTAATTCAAAAGGTATGGGAAATGTCAAAGTTAAAGTGAAGAATGAAAAGACCTTTCTGGTCAAGGATGTTTGGTATGTTCCTAGAATTAAGAGTAATCTAATGAGTATGGGTTAGCTCATTGAGAAAGGTTTCTCAGTTATTATGAAAAATAATCTTTTGAAGTTGTATGATTCCAATCAGAAGCTGATTATGCAATCTGAGCAGGGAAACAACAGAATATTCAAGGTGAATGTAGAAACAACTAAAACAAAGTGTCTTAGTGCAGAATACATTGAAGGTGATAGTAAGTTGTGACACAAGAGGTTGGGACATCTGAACTACATGAGTTTAGGGTATCTGAGTTCTAAGAAGCTCGTGCGTGGCATTTCGAAGATTGTGAAGCCTAAGAAGTCATGTGAGGTATGCATGAAAGGCAAGCAACCCAGATTGCCATTTGTGTCAGAAGTAGCCTCAAGAGTAAAACATAGTTTGGGAGTAGTGCATTATGACGTGTGTGGACCATTTCCAGAACCTTCACTTGGAAGAAATAGGTATTTTGTGTCTTTTGTGGATGAGTTCACAAGAATGACGTGGGTAACACTCATAAAGTTTAAATATGAGGTGTTTAAAGAGTTCTAGAAGTTCAAGGTGAAGGCTGAGAAACAAAGTGGTCGAAAGTTAAAGATTCTCAGAACGGATGATGGAGGTGAGTATAACTCTACAGAATTCCAAAAGTTATATGAGGATAATGGAATTGAACATGAGGTTACTGCTCCTTATACTCCTTAACACAATGGTCATGCTGGAAAAAAATCGTACTTTACTTGATATGACGAGAAGCATTTTGAAAGTGAGGAAGTTACCTCATATGTTGTAGGGAGAAGCTATATCCACTTCATTGTATGTGCTTAATAGGTGTCCAAGGAAGAAGCTGGAGGAAATTGTTCCTTTAGAAAAGTGGACTGAAGACAAGCAAAGTGTTAGCCATCTGAAGGTGTTTGGTTCTGTATGTTACAAACACGTTCCAGAAGCCATAAGAAATAAGCTGGATGATAAAAGCAAACTAATGATTCTGGTGGGGTACCACGGTACATGTGCATACAAGCTTTATTGTCCAAAAACTAATAAAGTTGAAGTCAACAAAGACGTCATTGTAAAAGAATCAGAAGTATGGGATTGGAGTAAGTCTCAATCTATTTATGAAGATGAGTCACAACTTGTAATTTCTGAAGAAGTGTCAGAGTCAGATGATGATTCTGGAAACTCTGAAGATGAGTCAGATGATGAATCTGATTCTGATCCAGATTTTGATGATGATCCAGAATCTGGTGGTGGTCATGCTTCTGAAAAGGAAAACTATGAAGACGTAATTTCTGGAGTACAGGCTTCTGAAGATGGTCATTTTCTGGTGGAAATCATATCTTTAAAGGTGGACCTTCTGAAGAAGGAGATTCTAAAGGTAGTCCAACCTCTGATGAAGGTCATGATTCTGAAGAAATAACTTCTGAAGACGATCTAACTTTTGAAGATGGTACTTTTAAAGGTAGTGATTCTGAAAAAAGTCTAGAAGCTAACAAAGGTGGAGCTTTTGGTGGTAGTCGGACTTCTGAAAAAAGTCTAGAAGGAGATTTTGTTACAGAGTCAGAAGGAGATTTTGAACAAGTCTAGAGGCCACAAAGAAACAAGACTTTAGAGTTAACTGAGCTTCTAAAGGAGAAGAAAGTCATCAGCGTCAGATGAGTTTTCAAGGAGAAATTTACATTTCTAAATGGAGTATTAGAAGTTACATATTGTAGAAACCATAAGCAACTTGCAGATGTTCTGACGAAGGATGTCAAGACTGGACGCTTTATCCTTTTGAGGGATGGAATTTGTGTTGTAGTTTTTTGGTTAGTTCAATATGAATTAAGGGATGGTGTTGGAAGTAATTCATATTCAGAAGCTGTTGTTAGAGTCAGAAGATTCTGATGTTATTACTCAAAAGCAGTGTTGCTCAGAATCAGTTGAGCTTCTGAGGTTGTTAGTCAGAAGTTGTAAGCTTCTGAGACTGCTTAGTTAGAAGTAATAGTTTGATATATTCAGAAGTTGTTATTAGTCAGAAGCAGAAGCTTCTGAGGTCACGCCCAGAAGTATGTTTAGCTTATGGGGTCCTAGTTATTTTGTTTACTTAGCTATTAAGTTTAGTTTGCTTAGTTATCAAGTTTATCTTTTGTTAGGGTTTACATGACAATTTATTTTATGTATAAATAAACTAATGATGGTTGTTATTTGTAATCAATCTTTTACACTTTTGTAGCCATCATTGCATAGTGATAAATATATTCTCTCATTCTTTTTGTTATCATCATCTTGTGCACTAACACAAACAAGAGTGTTTTTCTACGGTATTGATTTTAAGTGACATTACGTGAAACGTGACGTACCACGTCAGCTTCTGTTAAATAAACGACAGAGACAAAATGTGGATAAAAACTTTATGAAAATCATTTTTTAAAGAAAATTTTTTAAAAGACTAAAATCAAAATTAAACATATTTAATCATCAAAAAGATATATTGCTTTATAAAAAAAAACAAAGATGAATGCGTGTAATTAGGAAGTTACGAGGAAGGAAATTATATTTTTGTGACAATAATAATTGTGTTATTTTAGTGTCTTGCAATTGGTTGAGCTATGCACACAACCCAACATCTGTGTGTAATTTCGGTTCTATCCCTCGTCCTTACTTTCACTTCTCCCGCTCAAAACCAAACACGTGATTCAATCAAACACAACAGTGCTCTGTAACATTTCCTTCCACTCAAATATCAGCTTCAGCACTACTTTGAGTTTTGAACAAGTAAATTTCATCAAAATAAAGAAAAATACATTTAAGCATTTAGTTTGTTATTTTCTTGACTCAAATCTTTAACTTACTTTTTTTTTAATATAAAAACAAACCAACTTTATTTATTCATTTGTGTTCCCAAAGAAGCCGTTAACATGGCTTCTGTAACCATAGCTTTCGGTGTTTCACCCATTTCCACCATAACAACAAGAACAAAATCTCTAAGAAAAACTCACCATAAACTTCAAGCTCATGAACAACCACGTAACTTAGATGTGCTATATTCTTCTTCTGTTTCTGTTGAAGCAAACCAAAACGGCTCTGTTATCAAGGAGGTAGTAAAGAACAAGGCTACTTCATCATTGAGTTCTAGAGTTGTTGTTGAAGATGAAGAAGCTGGTTTGGCACCACTTTGGGACGATGGATATGGATATCGTACGGTGGAGGATTACTTTGCTTTGTCTAAAGAGATTTGCAACTTTGATGGTGGGCCACCACGTTGGTTTTGCCCTATTGAATCTACTTATCCTTCCAATGATTCTCCAACTATCATGTTTCTACCAGGTAAACCACTTTCTATTATTATCTCTACAAATTTTTATGCTATTATTATCTGTGATGATAATGTTTTATGCTATTGTAGGGATGGATGGGACTGGATTTGGTCTATCTTTGCATCATCAAGCTCTTGCTAGGTATGTTGTATTTTTTTTATTGTATTCTAATGGAAACATTATTATAAAATTAATAGCACATGTTTAGGTGATTAGCATAAGTTTGTTGTGCTCATATATTGTACTGATTCTAAGTTTGTTGTGCTGTTCAGAAGATCTATTCCATGTAGTTTATATTTTGTTGCTTCTTATTATCAGATTTACTTTGTGTGGAAACAGGTTTTTTGAAGTTCGTTGCTTGCATATTCCTGTCCATGATCGAACGCCATTTGAAGGTCTTTGCTTTTTTAGCGTATGCTTTTGTCAACTTTCTGATGTTCATTATTGTGAATGATTATTTGTTCTTGAACTGAAAGCTTTTCCTTTATGATTTTATTAAGGACTGGTGAAACTTGTTGAAGAAGCTGTTAAACTTGAGCATGCTCTATCGCCAAAGAAGCCGATTTATCTGGTCGGCGATTCCTTAGGTGGTTGCCTTGCACTTGCCGTTGCCGCTCGTAATCCAACAGTTGATCTAATACTTATTTTAGTCAATCCTGGTGAGTCTATCAATGCTCTAGTCTTTTTCTCCATTTTGTTCTCATATTTTATTTATTTGGTAATGTTTTGTCCAATTTGAATCACAGCTACATCCTTTGCTAGATCTCAGTTGCAACCTTTGTTACCTATCTTGGAGGCTATCCCTGACGAACTACACGTAACCGTTCCATTTCTTCTTAGTTTTATTATGGGTAAACAATCTGATTTCTCAACACTTTCAACTTTTCCCTTTACATTTTCACTGTGGCTGTCTTGGGGCGTACATGATTCAAAATTTGTCACGATTAAACTGTAGTTAAATAGGGCCTGTTAAAATATTTGTCACGGTTAAGTCATGGTTAATAGAGTCTATTTATTTTACCATGGTTAAAATGAGACTAACCAACACAGACTCTGATATAATTTCTTAACATCAGGTGAACCATTGAAGATGGCAACAGTCAATATTGGAAACGGGCTTCCTCCTACGAAGATAATAGAACAACTGTCAAACAATCTTACTTCATTGCTGCCATGTCTTCCTGTAAGAAGCTTTTGATTTTACGAACTAATGTATTTACCTCCTAAACTTGTAGGTATCCCTTATTTTGTACTAGTATCGATCTTTTCTCTTACTCTGTGTGATCTTTTGTCAGGAGCTGGCTGATATTATACCAAAAGACACTCTTCTTTGGAAGATTAAACTTCTCAAATCAGCTGCTGCATATACTAATTCACGTCTGCATGCTGTCAGAGCTGAAGTACTTGTACTTGCTAGGTTCTTATCTCTCTATTATTGGATGTATCATTCAAACGTATACATTGTTTTAAGTTGGGTTTTGAGATCGACGATGTTTTCTTTCTAGTGGCAAGGATAACATGCTTCCTAGTGTAAATGAAGCTCAAAGACTCGCGAGTACGTTGAAGAACTGTAAAATTCGTATTTTTAAGGACAACGGACACACGCTTCTTTTGGTATGTGTTATGAATAGAGATACTTACAACTATCATCAACATTAATCATGCGATTTTTTTAAATAAACACGGGACTTGATATTTTTTCTGATTTTGATCATTCATTTGAAATTGAACCATTGGTCAGTGTTTAGGTCTAGTGGAAGGACTAATCCCGTATAATGTGTTGAACAATGGTTCCCTTAAATATGAATTTCTGCTGCATTGTAGTTGATTAATCATGTTCTCCATGGTAGTGCAGGAAGATTGTATTGGTCTGCTAACAATCATCAAGGGGACATGCATGTACCGCCGTACGAGGAGGCATGATTTGGTCATGGACTTCATTCCCCCCAGTATGACAGAGTTCAGATATGCAATGGATCAAGTAGTCGGGTAATTTGTTTTAGCATATTATGCTCTCCACATAGTATTGAATAGACACAGATTTTCATTGCTAATATGTTATTGACACGATGTGAATGACAGATTATTTCGTTCTGTCACCGGATCTGTGATGTTCTCTACATTGGAAAACGGAAAGATAGTAAAAGGTCTGTCAGGTGTTCCAGATGAAGGTCCTGTCTTATTCGTCGGTTATCACATGTTGTTGGGATTAGAACTTATCTCACTTACAGATGAATTTTTAAGTCAGAAAGGTATTGCTCTTCGCGGAATAGCCCATCCTGATCTGTTTACCGGAAAATTGGAGAGCAATTCTTCTGAATTCTCTATGGTTGATTGGGTGAAGGTATTCGGTGGCGTGCCTGTTTCAGCAAGCAATCTTTTTAAATTACTTTCAACTAAATCTCATGTTCTCCTATATCCCGGTGGTGCACGCGAGGCTCTCCATTTCAAGGTTCGTCAACTATCTTTGTTATAATCGTATTTTCAATCCGAAATTATTTTATGCTCTTACGTTTTCCATGTAATCTTATAATGCCAGGGTGAAGAATACAAGTTGATTTGGCCTGATCAACCAGAATTCGTGAGAATGGCAGCACGATTTGGCGCTACCATTGTTCCGTTTGGAGTTGTAGGCGAAGATGATATAGCTGAAGTAGGTTTCTTCTTTTCTCTCCAAACTTTCATAGTTTTTTTCGGACTTTTTCTGATTGAATCTTATTACAGATAGCTCTTGACTACAACGACTTAATGAAGATTCCGATACTCAATGATTACATCAAAGATCTTAATCGAGGCTCAGTCAAAATTCGGTAATTATTCTTCATCACATTTTAGTTTATGAAATATGATTTTATTCAATATGTCAAAATGTGATATTTTTCAACCTTTAGAGATGAGAAAAGTGGCGAGGTAGCAAACCAAAATCTGTCATTTCCGGTGCTTCTACCGAAAATACCAGGCCGATTTTACTATCTATTTGGAAAGCCAATAAGAATGAAAGGCATGGAGAATATAGTAAAAGACAGAGAAAATGCAAATGAATTGTACCTGCAGATTAAGTCTCAAGTTGAGAAAAACATAGATTACTTGATCAAGAAGAGAGAGGAGGATCCTTATAGGAATTTAATAGATAGGAAAATGTATCAGGCATTTTATCCCTCTCAAACTGATCAAACCCCAACATTTAAGCCATGAGAATTTGTTGATATGATACATTATGTTAGTCATTTTTATGTAACATAATTATTTGGAAACTGATATGTATATGTAACATAATCATTTTTAATATAATAAAAAATAGTAATAATGATTTTCTTTATTTATATAAAATATTGTTTATGGTTTTATCCTTGGACTTAGATAAAAACATGCTACAGGAAATAGTCAATGATTTTCTTTGTAATAGCCAATGAAGTTAAAGTATACTCATATATTGGTTGATCTTGTTAACAATCTCAGAGGAAATGTTTTTGAATTAGGTGCTGCATAGGAGAGTTTGGAGCTCTTCTAAATTTGTGTTTAAACTTTGTTTGAGTTTATTAAGATACAATCAAATCATGCTTGTCATAGTTTAGCTCAAACATTTTCCTCCAATATTCGTGGATTTCATTTTGGTGAATTCAATACAAAATAAAAGAAGAAAAAAAAACAGAAAAGTACACATTAAGTGTCAAGGGCATTCCCACATAGCCAATCTAAAATGTGAGATGGCAGAGACAAGGACTTACACCTTTAATCGAATAATTCATATATGGGAATTTTTTAATACCGGGTTACTAACACACCTCATGAAAATACAATAATATTCTCTGATTCTGGAGTTACATCTCCAGACGCACTACAACTTAATATATTTCTGAATTAGGCCTTAAGTCAAATGGAAAAAAAATTACGGAGATACGTCTTTGTATATATTACAAAGATGCATCTTTGAACGCTATTTGTTCAAAAACGTGCCGGAACTCTTTCTCCTTTTTTACTTCTAAAAAAATAACTTAAATCACTCAACTTTCTCAAACTCTCTCAACTCACATTCTCTCAAAATCATATAACCAACTTCAAAGCTTCTTCCATCAACATCAAGTCCATCAAAGAGTTCATTCAACACTGAAATAAACTCACAATTTGTAAGTTTTTTATTTTTTTAAACTTTTTTGAGTTTTTGTATAAATTTATAGAAATTGATTATTAGGTTATGAAATAGATAGTGTATACATGTTTGATAGTTTATACATAATGAGAAACATGTTTGATAGGTAGTTTTATTGTTGTTTTGGGGACTACATTTCTGCCATTGGCTCTGATGAGAGTTGCACAAAATTTCAGAGATGCATCTCCGAAAATTTTCAACTTTTTTATTTCCAAAAACCGGAGATGCATCTCCGGAGATTTTCAGTCTGCATTTTTTTTTTTGCTTTTTTGCTTGTAGTCAATGTGTGGTCTACTTACAGGCATTATGGCTTATAAACAAGACCGATTGAGACACGTCAGAATTGCATAACATGCATCTATTCAGAGTGAAAAGAGTCGAGCATCACAGGCTCCTGTTACCTCTAGTCTAGTTGATGCGAAGGCATCCGCTTCTAGAACTCATGTATTTCTGCCTACTTCTTCCCGTATGTTACGAGTGTCACCTCCTCATGCATCTCTGCCTCCATCTTCTCATAGGCGACAAATTCACCTATTCATGCACCCGAGACAGCAGAGGTACTCGAGTCACTGAAGGTACCTCAGACACTAGGCACAGGAGACAACAGAGATACCTGAGGCACCCCAGGCCCAGGAGGCAACAGAGGCACCTGAGGCACCCCATACCCAAGAGACATCACAGGGGTTAGGAGGAGGTTCGTCAGACTTATCACTGCTGCCTCTTTATCCAGACCATACGGCCAGACATGTCGGGGACAAAGATATAAAAATAGTTGGATTCATTCTTTTTAAATTATGTTTGTTATAATATTAAAAGTGTTTGAGAATGATTTATTTTTCTACAGGACCTTGATCGGCTAAAATTCATCGACCATAGACGGAATAGGGATGTCAATTTGTATCTGTTAATGGGGATTCATGTGGAGATTATCAGTTCGGAGCTTTGAAGTTGGGAATTTTTCTCCCGCGAAGACGGGGATAGGAGGGTGAAGTTCCCTCGTTGACACTTTGAGGCGATGATCACGAAAGTACCCTTTACCACACAGATTTCTCGACCCTGACCATACTATTTAACTTTTATATTTTATATATTATATAATTATTTAATTTTACATATTTTTTATAAAAAAAAAATTAATGTATTAAAAAAATGAAGAGTCATTAGTGGATCATTTTACTTTTTTGTTTTATTGTAGAATGTATTGTTTCGCTACCCAAGTACCAAACTATAGAAAAGTGAATCCAATACATACAATGTAAACATTATCTCCTCTTTTTCTTTTCTCAATTATCTTTGTCTCCTTCATTCACCATCTCCTATGTTCTCATCATCATCACAACAATCATTCTTATTTGTTCATTGTGCAAATAGTAATTATTATTCAAATTCACTTTACTTCTATTAGTAACATGTTTTTCATTCAATTCATAAATTAGTAGTTATGAATTTGTCACACTCACACATAATCAACCATTTGCGCTGGACGACAACGGTATTGTAGTAGTAAATTAGTCGAAACATGGTAACAACAAGTTCTATTGAATATTTATTTTTTTACAGAAAAAAATATTAGCAACAACAAATGCTTTTGCTTCTTTTTTTGTTATTGATACAAGATGTATTTTTTATTTTTCAAAAAAAGATAGATGCAAAATATATGTGTTTTTTTAAAGGAAAAAAATAATGAAATACTAGTGTCATAGTTTTGATCGAAAAATATAAAAAAATTCTTAAGATTCGATCTCCGTGGATCTCCGTAGGGATCTGTGAGGATGGAGATGAAAAAAATATTCCCCCGAGGCGGGGATTAGGGATGGAGATGAAGAATAAATTAAGGGATGGGGTGGAGAGTGGGAAAGCATCCTCTAAATATTCCTTGCCTGTAGACATCTCTAGGAGAAAGATTATTGGCCTGCGTCGGCCTAACCAACATATTTTCAGGATGTTTTGCAGGTATTTGGGATGAAAGACTTGTGCAAGACCGGTTATGTTAAGATTAACCATAGTATGTTTAACGAGTTTGTAGAGAGATGGCACACAGAGACATCATCATTTTAACTAACACATAGTGATATATTTATCACACTGGACGATGACTCGTGTCTATTGCGTCATCTGATTAGGAGGAAACTTTTAAATTATGGGAAGATTAACATAGATGAGGCATTGTAGATGATTGTAGACTATTTGGGAGTTGACCCAGAGGCTGCCTTGACGAAGTTTGAAGCCACTTGACGGGCTCGTGCTAGGTTTTGATTCCCGTAGAAGGTGTATACAAATGAGGTACTTAGAGCAAAACAGTCTGCTAATGATGATGAGCATGTTGCGCAGCATAAAGCATGCACTATGAGAGCATACATGTTGTATTTAGTTGGCACTGCCTTTTTGTGGACAATAATATCACTTATGTGGATGTCATCTATCTGCGATATTTTAATGCCTTTGAGAGGATCCATGGATACAATTAGGGGCACTTGTTTGGTCTACTTGTACTCTAAATTATCCAAGGTTGTATGTGGAAGACGAAACAGGTGACAGACAGCATCACACTATTGACAGTAATATTTCTTAGTCTTTTAGTGAGTGTGTGTCATTTTTATAACATTTTTGCAACACCATTACTAATGATTCATGTGTTCCAAAACTTTTTAGGCTTGGATCCTCCAGCACTTTCCATGCATCTCCGGCTGGCCATGTATACTAGCCTATATTGAGAATACGTCATGTGCTTCTGCATTTTCCCCGCTCATAGAGAATCAGGCGACAGAGTCGTTCAGATTGAGAATTATATGTGCATCTATTTCATCTATTAAGATGAATGTTCTTTAGAATGGGATAGGTAGTAATTTCTTCTCTCCCAAGAAAACGTTGAGACAAAAAGATCCCATTTACCCATATATGTTTGTTCTTTGCATTGATAAATTATCCCACCTTATTAGTGAAGCAGTTAACTCAGGGAATTGGGAGACTATAAAAAGGGAAAGTAAGAGACCTAGTCTATCCCACTTAATGTTTGTTGATGACCTCCTCCTATTTGGAAATTCCACTAAAAACAAATTATATGGGTGATGGATGTCTTGAATAAGTCCTATGTTATGTCTAGGCAGGAAACTAGTGCTGATAAAACCAAGATTTTCTTCTAAAAAAATATAACAGAGCATATGAAGAAGAGACTCATAAATTTATCAGGCTTCAAGGCAATAAATCAGTTAGGTAAATATTTGAGTGTTCTTTTGACTGGAAAAAACCTAGTGTGAAAGATTGTCATTATCTTGTAGAATAACTAAAAGCCAAGTTAGCAGCATGGAAAGGTAAACCACTCTCTTTTTCATAAAGGGTAAAGTTAGCCAGTGCAATAGTAGAGGTTATTCCATTGTATCCTATGATGAATTGTGCCCTCCATAGTGCTTGCTTGAAAGAAATGAAGAAAAATTCATAAAGGCTTTGTGTGGATGGGATACAATAGACAAGAAGTATGTTCACCCTGTGAGATGGGATAACATAACCATGCCTAAAAAGATGAGGGATTGGGATTGAGGAACTTAGAAGATATGAACAAAGCTTACCTATTGAAACTGGCCTGAAAACTTAGAAGTGGGAAAAACTCTTTATTATGTGAAGTGATGAGAGGTAAATATGGTAGACAAGTTAATTTGGATTAAAGCATTGAAGCAAAGGGTGTATGACTCTAGTCTTTGTAAAACCATAACTAGTTTATGGCCAATAGGTAATGATATGACATAATGGGCTATACAAAATGGCCAAAAGGTTAAAAACATAAAAATAATAGCACCATCATTAGATAATGTCAGATTTATCAACAAGTTAAATTCTAAAAAAAAATGTATAGACTCCACAACATTGGAGCCTCTCCCCTATTTCCCCAATGCTCCAAACAGAAGAGAGAACCTGTCTTTCTTCAACTTATCCATCTCCTTAATCTCTCTTGCCTGTCTCTCTTCAACTTCTCCCTCTCCTTCCTTAATCTCTCTTCTATAAATTTATTATACCAATCAGACCCTCAAAACATTGAAAATTTAACTGTTTTTTACACATAATTTCTTCGTTTAAAATCCTTAAAAATTATCCTTAAAATACTCATTATCAAGACCTCTAACTTAACTACGAACGAAAATGAATCTAAAAGCTTTTATTATTATTTTTTCTTTTGGACATAGAAGTATCGTTGTTTTCAGCATTACATATGCATTGCTTCTGACTGAGCTACAGAAACAACTCACGTGTTAACGTGACTTCCTTATTGTTTTTGACATATTGTTTTGTTCTTACAGTTAAGAAATGAAATTAGATTTCCCTAGTGGCACCTAACTTGCTGTCACTAACACCCATTCATGAAATTAAAGAATTGTTTATGGCACCCAAAGTGGTGGAAAGACGCTTTAAAGAATTCCGAAAATGTCTTTCAAAATTTGAAAGTGTATTTTCGAATACACCTTTTTCACATCAAATACACTACACTTTTATTTTGTCAAAAAAATAGTTCAAAAATATACTTATAAATCTAGAAGTATACTTTCTTATGATACTCCTTCTCACTTCTTCTCTTTTTTGCACAATAGGGGTGTTCGCGGTGCGGTTTGGACGGTTTTGAAGCAAAAAATCATTCAAACCGCAAGAGAAAAAAACATGCGGTTTGATTTGGTTCGGTTGGCTTTTAAAAATAAATCCGAACCAAACCAAACCAAACTTATGCGGTTTAGATTGGTTCGGTTGTTTCGGTTTTTTACAAAAATAGTTATTATGACATACATACAAATATATAGGAAAATATAATTTTATATTTAATTGTTCATACATTACCATAAAAAATTTATAATTGTCAAAATAAATTTATAATTTGATACATAAAATTGCATATTATAATTTTATCTAAATCTAAATAATGATATCAACAAGATTGCATTCTTAAATAAATATTATACAAAGAATATGATAAAATATATTTTGTGAAAATAGTATTTATAAATGAATAATATTTTATTTTTTATGATTTGTAAATTAAAATGAATATAATACAAAGTATGATAAAATATACACATAATACATGTTGATTTCTCTAAAGAATTATAGAAATATATATTGGTTAGTAAGATTTTATAACATAATGCGGTTTTGTTTGGTTTGGTTCGGTTTGTAAAATACAAACCGCAAACCGAACCGAACCATGCGATTCCACGAGAAAATAATCCAAACACATCCGAATCAAATGCGGTTTTTTGCGGTTTCGATTTGGTTCGATTCGGTTTTGCGGTTTTCTATTGGACCGGTTTGGTTTTGAACACCCCTACTGCACAATGCGCACTATCAAAATTAGAGTATTGTGCCAATCCTGCTTTTGTCTTACACAACATTATTGCAGGATTCTTCTGCCACAGATCAAATAATGGTTGCCCTGAAACATGTCCAAGAGTCGCTACTGTATGAAGATAAGTCTCAAATCTTGAGATACCTCCTCATCTTGAATGACCATTTTGAATAAGGTTCTGTGTAATGCACTTTCCATATATATTCTCTCTCCCAGTTTATTATACTAAAGATCATTGTCATCTACAGTCACATTCTTTTTCAATCTTTACAAGATCATTGTCATCTAGAGTCACATTCTTTTTCAATCTTTACAAGATCATTGCCATCTAGAGTCACATTCTTTTTCAATCTTTACAACTCTTATACTTGTGAATAACATCATATAGTGACAAAATTAACTCCACACTCCATTTTTAATAGGCAGGGGCCATCACAGGAACATCAGAGGTGTATTTGACTGAATTATTAATGTGCCACGTTGAATCATATTATTTGTATTGACTGATATGACAATATTAGAAGAGAAGTGAGGAAGAAAAAGTATTCGGAAGTATATTTTCGAACTATTTTTTCTAAGTGAATGTGTGGTTCACTTACCCATTAATTTGGTGTATTTAGAATGCATCCGGAAATGCATTTTCAAATTCTAGAGGTAGTTTTGGTTTTTCGTTAGGGTGGAAAAGCAATGTTTAGGGAATTCAATTGAAATATTGTGTAGCTTAACTTTGGCCACTCGATTGAAGGTTGACACATTGCCATTTCGGTTCCATTTTGGTTCTTAAATATTTTGTGGGTGCTCTTTGGACTGAGACACACTTCCCTAACCCTGACATTATGCACCAAAACATTCCAATATACATACAAAAGCAAGGGAGAAGAGCACGGGATCAAAACCAGGGCTGGCAGCGAACCAGCCTTAGATATCAACATAGTTTATTTGAACTTTCGAGAATAATATTACTAGCCATTAACAATTAGCAAAAAAAATTTAAAACATACATCTGTAGAACATAATTTCTATGGGAATATTATTTGATGCACAATTCAAATTTACAATATTTTCGTTATCATCTTAAATTAACCACCTCGTTCCTGAGAAACACCCCAATATGCCAGTATGATCCCCGCTAGTTCCCAACACAACCAATTAATAACCTTTGTGCCATTCGCAAACCACTTATGACTCCATCATGTCCAGCAAAAGTATGCACTCCAGCTATAGATATAATTCAAAATTTATAGTAACTGCTCTCTACTAAAGAAAAACTATCCAAGCAGGTCAAGAGAATGCTACTAAACATGGTGACAAATGAGAGTTCAGAATTTACAACATTCTTACAATGCCACCGATTGATGCAGGCAACCAAAGATGAAGGAGTGCTCAAAGGTTTTTCAGACAATCATAAGAAAACCTGCGAGTTTTAATCATAATAAAGTCAGCATCCCCTTCTGAGACAAAACAAATCAAGTATATGTTTCATAGCCAAGTAGAATGGTAAATTCAGCATAGAGAGTCAATTAAACAAATGTGCTTACCTTCTCTGATTTTTCTTTTATTGATAAAACTTAATCTATTAGGTAAGAAAATAAAATGGTTACACAACCAGACATCTAAAACTTATTAGCTATACCAATCATAAAATGACCATTTGAACACAGGTAATTTCCTATTTAATAGAGAAAATTACTTTGGTAATATTTGCATCAATAAAAAGGAAGAAATAAAGAAGCCATTAAACAATTAATATCACATTGTAGCTGATAAAAGCAAGCAAAGCTCGAGATTACCAACCTTTGATACATATCCAATTTGAGGTCATCTTCCTTGAACAACTCTGTAATTTAGGACCAGGTCATCTGGTTTCTTCCATACATAAGCTCGCACAGTGGCTAAGCTCATGTCAGGAGATAACACCTGGAAATAAACAACAGTCAGCTAAATCAACATAACTCCAAGATGAGAAAGTATCATATTAAAGCACAGACTACAGAAAATTAAATCAAATAACTTCCAGTTAATTAGGGTCAAACAATGTTTCTTTTGTTAAAAAAGATGTGATATCATCATTCAATCAATCATGAGACGTATCTTCAAAATTACAGATCAAATACTATTACTGTGATCCATTTTAATACTTCAATTTAACTGTAATGAGGCTTCAATAAGAAGCCATATACTAAATGAGTTTTAAAACTTGGAGTGCACCAGCAGAGTAGATGAAGAGTTGTTATGGTGAAGTTAAACTATCACATGACTAAATGCTTTTACTAAATGAAGCTTTATTGTTGCTTGATTTGAAACAAAGTATTTCAAACAATCATTTCAAATCAACCTTAAAAGGTAAGTTGAGCTAATTTTAGGGACAACCAAACCAAGAATACTTAAACCATATTTAAAGCTCCCTGCCCATGATTTTACCAACTCAAAAGTCAGTCAAAATTGTAACTTTTGTAAATTAAACTACAATGAAAAATGAATTACAATTCTGAAGATATATGTCATATGCATAAATTGGAAAGATTGTGGAAAGCATATACATGAACTGAAAAGTAGGACAAGTATAGAAAAATAAAGCATGAACTTGCTCAATCCCAGCATCTACATGCACGTCATCGAAACCATGCCCAAGATGACATAACACTTGCCTGATTGTTGCACAATATTTCAATTGAAGGTTTAAGCTTTTGCCAAGGTTTGAATCCAGATCCAGATCGGAAAGATCCATCCCCGATTGCTTGAAGTTGTGACTGTGACCCACTAAGTCCAGGGGTAAAATTACCGTCAGCAAGTAAGTTATCCAAAGGTTTATCGAGCACCATCTTTTCTACCACATAATTAACAACCTAACCAACAAAAAAAGGAAAGCTAAGTTGATCATTCAGAAATGCATAGTCATGTGGGACAAGAATGCCTCCAAAATACAAAAATTGAAGACTTAAATGAAAAATATATTAACCCTTTTGGTAAGCATGACCAAAGTCAACAACACATGCAAATACTTTTAATGAAATTACAATTCCCAATTGTTAATCAATATAAATATGAAAACTTACTTTGTGAATTCTTAATATTCGTGGAGCACTTAGCTTTCCTTGTGTCAGGATCTGGACTGGAGAGCCTTCACATGGATGCAAATAGAAACTGCATCTGTAGAGATTATAACAAAAGAGTCTATATAAATTATCTAAAACCAACGATAATCATACTAAAAAGAATTTCCATCAGACTCGGACAATGAATTCATAGACTGCCGTTTATATCTACAAAAGTAAGGAAACAAACTCAATATTTTCATGCCAAAACCATTCAAAGTACATAAAAATGTTCAAAGATAATGTAATAATCAACAAATAGATAGACCAAGCAACAGATACCATTGGCAAAAGATAAATTCATAAGACTCCTTAAGCATATAGAAAGTGAGGTCAGGTATGAAACGATGTGTTAGCACCGTCATTTTTTAAATAAAAATTGCAAGTGTAAAGAACTTCCATTTAACACTCTAGAGTCATGTTGTCATTAACAAGGGCAGCACCAATTTTAAATAATCAAAACATGCAATGATCATGGTTCCTTTCTTTTAACTATAACCAGCTCATAATGCAACGCTAAGCGAAGGAAAAAATTAAGAGAAAGGTAAAAAGTTACTTTGTATTTTCTCTGGGAGGTAACCGATTATTCAAAATGCAGTCTAGACACCACCAGGGAAAGTCTTTCTCATCTTCTGTTCCATCTAAATCAGTTATTTTTTTTCTCCACGGACCTCCATGAGTGCCCTCAGTAACAATTGAAGGAGGGGAAACAAGTGAGAATTCAAACGGAGGATAAACCATAGCATCATTCTCAGAACTCACGTCAACATCAGCTCTCGAATGGATAAGACTTCTAGAAGCAACATCCTTTCCAGATAATTCTCCATTAGCTGAAGCAGGAGACCCCATTCTTTGCTTTCGTTTTCTTAACCAATGAGCCAAGAGTCCTTTTAGGGTTTCTCGACCCAAATTAACCTGGGCAGAATAACAGACACTGATTTAGAATGCTGAGCATAAACTATTGAAACAAAACATAAAACATAACTCAGCCAATGTCAGTTTAATAGTGTTGTTATATTGTTAGGCAGTTAGTTTTATATTTTCAGTTCTAATATTGTTAGTACATTTGCTGAGCTGTCATATTTGCTGTGATAGTAGCTTTGTTTGTTATGATCTAAGCCTCTCTATAAATAGAGTGCTTTTCTGTATCTTCTTTATTCAAGATAATGAAACTTCTCAAACCGTTTTCTCTTCTCTCTTCTTTACCAAACTCTATCATGGTATCTAGAGCTTAAATTTTTTGATCCATGGCGTCCTTGTTTCCGTCTTCGCAAGTGAAGCTTTCTCACTTGATCTCTGTGAAGCTTGATGATAGGAACTTCAAGCATTGGAAGCAACAGATTGACGGAGTTGTACACGGTCATCGCCTACAACGGTTTGTTACTGTTCCGCTGATTCCTCAGAGATCACCGTCCGATTCCGATACCACACCACACGGTGCAAATTCTGCGTACCTGGAGTGGGAACAACAAGACGCACTCGTCTGCACTTGGCTCCTCTCTACTGTCTCAGATTCGCTTCTCCCAAAGCTTGTAGAGTGCAGACATCCGTGGCAGGTATGGACTGAAATCCATCGCTACTTCAATACGCTCCTCACAACCAAAGCGCGCCAACTACGATCGGAGCTCCGGCAGCTTACGAAAGGAACTCTCACGATTACGGAACTATCGCGCGTACACGCGAAATCAGTGAATCACTGCTTTCGATTGGGGATCCGGTACCATTACGTAACCTAATCGAGATCGTTCTTGATTCTTTGCCTGAAGATTACGATCCAATTGTTGCAGCCGTTAACAGCAAAGACGAATTAAGTTCCTTGGATGAGTTGGAGTCGTCGCTGTTAGCGCATGAATCGCGCCTTGAGAAGCATCGTAAGGCTGTGGTTACTGAACCGGCAACGGTGAATCTGACTCAGGCAGCGCCGTCGTCTTCGCCGGTTACGTCTGATCAACCAGCGTTGACAGACGCTTTCCCTCAAGGTACGAGTCACGTGACTGCTAACGCTGATAATCACACTTATGGATCTCGTGGAGGTCGTTCCGGTCGTGGTCGCTATGGACGCGGTGGAGGTCGTTTTGGCAAAACGCAATGTCAGATTTGTCACAAATCTGGACATGACGCGTTTACTCTAATTCCAGTGGTGCTGCATATCCACCTCCAAGAGCTCAGTATAATCCCTTCCTTATGCAAGCACGCCCTATGTTTCCAGCTCAATTTGGATATTCTGTTCCAGAGGTAGTGCACCTCCTAGATCTTCTGCACCACAGGCGTTTTATGCAGGTTCTGAAGCTGGTTTTAATAACCAATGGTGGTATCCTGATTCAGGAGCTTCTCATCATGTTACTCTTGACGCCTCAAATTTGTCTGATTCTGTTTCTTTGCCAGGAACTGAGCACGTATTCATGGGAAATGGCCAAGGTTTGTCTATAAATTCTGTTGGTTCCATGTCATTTCACTTGCCACACACTGCCAACCTACCTCTTACCCTTAGAAATCTGCTCCTTGTCCCTAACATAACCAAAAACTTACTGAGTGTGAGCAAATTTGCTCAAGATAATCATGTCTTTTTTGAATTTCATCCTAATTTATGGGTTGTTAAATCTCAGGCTACTTCTGAAGTGTTACTTCGTGGGTCTGTTGGAGATGATGGACTTTACAAGTTCTCTAATCCTACCACTCAGCTATCCAAGTCTAGTTTTCCAAGTCCAAATTCTTGTTCTGCCCAATCAACATATTGCAGAGCTAGCTGTAATTTATCATCTTCATTTGTAGCACATAATACTCCTATTTTCAATTGTTTACCAAATTGTATAAGTCATTGTAATACTCTTTGTAATCATGATCAGTTTCATAATAATATGAGCAGTTTTACTCATTCTCCTTTTCTTAATTCTACTACTTACAATACTCATGTATCCTCTCCACATTCTAATAGCTCATCCTCCATAGCCACAAGTAAATATGTTCTTTGGCATACTAGATTGGGACACCCTAATCATCATTCCCTAGTTGAAGTTTTCAAACTATGCAACTTCCCCAATTTTCCAAAACCACCTACAGAATTGTGTCAGGCTTGCTTGTCTTGGCAAGTCTCACAGATTACCTTCTACCCTATCCACCACTGTTTACACCCATCCTTTTGAATTAGTTGTTTGTGATCTTTGGGGTCCTGCACCTATAAAATCTACTGGTGGTTACACATACTTCCTCACTTGTGTAGATGCCTTTTCTAGGTTTGTTTGGGTATTTCCTCTCAAACTCAAATCTGATACCTTTCTCCAGTTTACTCAGTTTAAGAAAATGGTTGAACTTCAATTCAATTATCCTATCAGATGTGTTCAGAGTGATGGTGGAGGAGAGTTTAGGCCTCTCGCCAAATATCTAAATGATTTGGGTATTGTTCATAGGCTCACTTGTCCTCATACTCATCATCAAAATGGCCTTGTTGAACGTAAGCATAGGCATATAGTTGAAACAGGGCTCACACTTCTAGCCCAATCCACTCTTCCTTTAAAATTTTGGGACCATGCTTTTGTCACAGCTGCCTATCTTATTAACAGAATACCTAGTCCCACACTTGACAATTTCTCTCCTTATTTCAAACTTCTAAAT